ACTGCAACCTCCACCTCCCAGGTTGAAGTGATTCTCCTGTCTCAGTCTCCTGAGTAGCTGGGATTACAGGCATGCACCACCACGCCTGTCTAATTTTTGTATTTTTAGTAGAGATGGGGTTTCAACATGTTGGCCAGGCTGGTCTTGAACTCCTGACCTCAGGTGATCCTCCTGCCTCACAAATTGCTTTGATTACAGGCATGAGCCACCTGCCCAGCCTAGTATTTATAATTTTTACTGAGTTTCACAGAAGAAAAAGGAAAGTAAATCTGAAAGCCAAGCATAGTGGCACACGCCTGTGGTTCCAGCTACTTGGGGGAGGCTGAGGCAGGAGGATTGCTTGAGCCCAGGAGGTTGAGGCTTCAGTGAGCTGTGACTACAGTTGTGCCCCACCATGCCTGGCTATTTTTTTCTATTTTTTTGTAGAGGCAGGGTTTCACCATGTTGCCCAGGCTGGTCTTGAACTCCTGGTTTCAAGTGATCTACCCACCTCGGCCTTCCAAAGTGCTGGGATTATAGGCATGGGCCACTGCGCCTGGCCAAAACTTTTTTTGAGGTACAAAAAGACTCAAAGTTTGAAATCTATTTTGAGGATTATTCTTCAAGAGAAAGTCATAGGGGAAATGTTTTCTGTCAAGAAAATGTTCGTTAAAGGAAACAGGTCCCTTTTAGGGCATGAACAAGCTTGTCTAGTTCTAAAGCACTTTCTTGTGTCCTCTCATGTGATGCCAACTGTAGTGACCTTGTGGGGTGGGCTGGGAAGGACATAGGAGCTCCACTTCACAGATGGGGAACTAGTGGCCCAGAAAGCCCAAGTGATCTGCTGAGGGACAGTCTGGTCTTTTTATACTCAAGTCTCTAGTTGTTTCCTCCTGGGAGACACTGCCTTCTTTCTAGAGATAAGTAGCCTCATTATAATATCCATATATAAGTCCTTAGAATTTTCCAATCTCTTTTTCATCCTTTCTTTTTCTTGAGATGGAGTCTCACTGTGTCACCAGGCTGGAGAGTAGTGGCACAATCTCGACCCACTGCAACCTCCACCTCGCAGGTTCAGGTGATTCCCCTGCCTCATCCTCCTGAATTGCTGGGACTACAGGTGCGCGCCACCACGCCCACCTAATTTTTGTATTTTTAGTAGAGACGGGGTTTCACCATGTTGGCCAGGATAGTCTCGATCTTTTGACCTCGTGATCACCCACCTCTGCCTCCCAGTGCTGGGATTACAGGTGCGAACCATCGTGCCAGACCCTTTTTTTTTTTTTTTTTTGAGACAGAGTTTTGTCCTTATTGCCCAGGCTGGAGTGCAATGGCACAATCTCAGCTCGCTGCAATCTCCGCCTCCTGGGTTCAAGCAATTCTCCTGCCTCAGCCTCCCAAGTAGCTGGGATTATAGGCATGTGCCACCATGCCCAGCTAATTTTGTATTTTTAGTAGAGACGGAGTTTCACCATGTTGGTCAGGCTGGTCTTGAACTCCTGACCTCAAGCAATCCACCCGCCTCGGCCTCCCAAAGTGCTGGGATTACAGGCGTGAGCCACCATGCCTGGCCTATATAGCCAATGTATTTTATGCCATGCACTGCTACCTCTCAGCTATCAGGATGGATACATGCCATTCCATTTCCCATTAGACAGAAAATAATACTGAGGCAAAAACAGTTATCAGTAATAGTAGCTAATAGATATTGAGGCTTTATGTGCAAGTCACTGTTCTAAGTACTTTACATATATTAAGTCATTTAATCTTCAGAACAATCTAGAAGTAAATACCACAGTTATCCTGGTCTTGTAGACTAGAAAGCTGACATAAAGAAGTTAGTTCTTACTCAAGATCAACGTAGCTTTGGGAATCTGAGGCGGGAGGATCTCTTGAGCCCCAGAGTTCGAGACCAGCCTGGGCAACACAGTGAGACCCCATCTCTACAAAAAGTACAAAAAATGACCTGGCATGGTAGCACACACCTGTAGTCCCAGCTATTCAGGAGGCTGAGGTGGCAGGATCCCTTGAGCCCCAGGAGTTGAGAGGTTGAGACTGCAGTGAGCAGTGTTTACAAGGCTGCACATGCCTGGGCGACAGAGCAACCCTGCATCCCCCCAAAAATACAAAAACAAAAAGCTCAACATAGTTGCAAAGTGCAACATAGCAGCAGGAGGTGGAGGGGCGCTTAGAATCCCTGCAGTCCACTCTCTCCCTGGACTTTATGCTCTACCACTGCATTATTAAAGACTCCCATTGAACTTAATAACTGCCCAGTCAGGAGGGCACAGACTGGATTGTTACCCTTCTTCATCTACCCCTTGGCTTCAATAGGCTGTCTTCCAGGCTCTGTCTTCAGAGTGAGGCAGAATGTTTTATTGTTTGTGTACCCATCGACTTGAGCCACACACAAATGCCTGCCCTTGACTAACCCCTTCACTGATCTGTTCCCGTAAGCTGTTATCTGCACTGAGTGTAGTCAACCAGGCGGGACATGGTCTGCCTTTTTACAGTTGCTATCTGGAGCCTCTATAAATGCTTGGAGCTTAAATCTTACAATTTTTTTTTTGAGACGGAGTCTCACTCTTATTGCCCAGGCTGGAGTGCAATGACGTGATCTCAGCTCACTGCAACCTCCACCTCCTGGGTTCAAGCGATTCTTCTGCCTCAGCCTCCCAAGTAGCTGGGATTACAGGCATGCACCACCATGCCCAGCTAATTTTCTATTTCTATTTTTCTAACCCCATAAAGATGGGGTTTCTATGTTGGTCAGGCTGGTCTTGAACTTCCGACCTCAGGTGGTCCGCCCACCTTGGCCTCCCAAAGTGCTGGGATTACAGGCATGAGCCACCGTACCTGGCTTTTTTTTTTTTTTTTTGAGATGGAGTCTTTGCTCTGTCGCCAGGCTGGAGTGCAGTGGCGCCATCTCTGTTCACTGCAACCTCTGCCTCCCGTGTTCAAGTGATTCTCCTGCCTCAGCCTCCCGAGTAGCTGGGACTACAGGCATGCACCACCATACCTGGCCAATTTTTTGTATTTGAGTAGAGATGGGGTTTCACCATGTTGGTCAGGATGGTCTTGATCTCCTGACCTTGTGATCCGCCTGCCTCAGCCTCCCAAAGTGCTGGGATTACAGGCATGAGCCACAGTGCCCAGCTCAACCTCCTAGGTTTAAGTGATCTTCCTGCCTCAGCCTCCCTAGTAGCTGGCACTAGAGACACAGGTCACCATGCCCAGCTAATTTTTTTTTTTTTGAGAGGAGTATTTTTTTGTTTTTGAGACAGCGTCTTGCTCTGTCTCCCAGGCTGGAGTGCAATGGCATGATCTCAGCTCACTGCAACCTCTGCCTCTTGGGTTCAAGCGATTCTCCTGCCTCAGCCTCCCGAGTAGCTGGGACTACAGGTGCCTGCCACCACGTCCAGCTAATTTTTATATTTTTAATAGAGACGGGGTTTCACCATGTTGGCCAGGATGGCCTCGATCTCTTGACCTTGTGATCCGCCTGCCTCGGCCTCCCAAAGTGCTGGGATTACAGGTGTGAGCCACTGTGCCCGGCCGAGATGATGATGCTCTGGACTTAATAACTTTGATCAGACCTTCAAAACCCAAATTTGAAGTGAGGAGCAGACCTCTAGAATATCTAGGATACATGATGGCTGGAGACACATGTGTAGCTTTTAATAGATGTAGGCTAACAGCTGCCATTTTTCCATCCTCTAAATACGTAATCCTATTCTCATTTTCCCCAGAACCCTGCAAGGCAGTGGTTTCACTTCCTAAAAGAAACTGGCAGGATAGGGACCTTACCATAGATCAGAGTTCTGGGAGAAGGGAACTGAACCAGATCCCTTGCAGCTGTCCCTATACTTCCCTGACCCGATCCTTGCTTTCTTTCTAGACCCCATGCCACAGCTGGATGTGACTGAGGCCAACAAAGAGTTCATGGAACAGAGTGAGGAGCTGTATGATGCTCTGATGGACTGTCACTGGCAGCCCCTGGACACAGTGTCTTCAGAGATCCCTGCCATGATGTAGCCAGGCCAAAGGACAAGCCAGGCTGCACTATGTGAGGGAGATTAGAGACTCCTTTTAAAAAAAAAAAGAAATGTGAAACCTTTTTGGAAATATGATTTGTAAGATTTTAATGACTTTCTGGAGATCATGAGTATTTCTACAACACTGCTGCATTCATTTGACCGTTTGAGTTTGAAGACCACGGGAACAACTTTTAAACAAGGTTCAAATTGCTTTCCTTCACAGGAATCCTTTGTCCAGGCAGTTATCCACTCCTGGACACAGGATAGTTTGGGGTTACCCGAAACTGGGATGAGCAGCTTGGGATGATCCACACACTAAAGCCTGGGTTATCGGCTTCTCAGTTATGTAAATCAAGGCTCTCTGGAGTATTTATAGTACCTGCTGTTCTAACTTTAGAGTCAGCTAGGTAGGGCACTGTAGCAGGGGCGGAGCACACCCCTAGGAGGTAGGATGTGGTGGGGTGATCGATCAGGCCAGTTGGCCTAAGAATGCTCACAAGAATGGGTTTCATCTTATTTTCATCTTTTTTTGTATATTCAGTATCTGCATATACAAGGCCTGGCTGGATCACTTTAGGATCAATATGGGAGATAAGCCGCTCAGAAAGTTAAAATATGGGAGAAGGCAGCTCCTCCATGTGAACTTTGGAGAATGGGGAAGCACCCATACTTGCTGGCCCCTCTGGGGCTTATGATAAAAGCTGTATCTGATTCTAGTTTTGTGCTAGAGCAATTTTGGGGGCTTACTGCTTGAGGCAAAGCATTCATTGTAGATCACAAAAAAAATCTCCAAAGGGCTGGGCATGGTGGCTCACTTTGGGAGGTGGATTGCTTCAGCTCAGAAAGAGACCAGATTTGTAGAGACCAAAAAAATACAAACACAAATATACTTTTATCAGTCTTTATTAATCTTCAATTGATCTACACCTAGAGCATGCTGTTTGCTGTTGTTTCTACCTAAAATGACCGGGGTCTTGCCTTTTGCTTCCCGTAGAGATTCTCCTGCAAAGGAAGTATAAGCCATTGTGTTAGAAATTCCCAGATTTCCCCCACACCCAGGCATTTTCCTAGGAGCTGGTCTCAGTCCCATATCCGCATTTCTCATCCATGGATGTCCACTCAGATTGTTTCATCCTGGACCAGTCATTCTAAATAGTGTGTGCTACATGGAACCCCTTGAAGTCCTACCAAAGAATGCATCATGAGCTCCAGCCACCACTGAACATTTGCGGCTACCAGGCCTTGTGGCCCACGGTGCCCTCTGCTGCCTTCAACTTCCAGCAATATGTGGTCTTGCAGGGTGGGCAAATCATGTTCTAAGCACCTTTGCCCTCTGGTAATGAACAGCTAACAAACAGGGCACACGAGGAAGGCCAAATGTAAATGGAAGGCCAAATGTAAATGTTACTGAAATGCCTGTAATCCCAGCACTTTGGTAGGCCAAGGCAGGCAGATCACTTGGGGTCAGGAGTTCAAGACTGCCCTGGGCAACATGGCAAAACCCTGTCTCTACTTAAAATACAAAAATTAGGCGGGCATAGTGGTGCATGCTTATAGTCCCAGCTACTCAGGAGGCTGAGGCAGAAGAATCACTTGAACCTGGGAGACGGAGTTTGCAATAAGCCAAGATCGTGCCACTGCACTCCAGCCTGGGTGACAGAAAGACCCTGTCTTAAAAAAAAAAAAAATTTGACACAGACCTAAGTAACCTTATAGTTCTATTAGGCTGACTACTTAGGACAGGATCCCCGAAAACTGAGCACTACCTGCAGCTACACGCTGACAGAGCTTCGGGTGGTCACTAACTTACCCAACTCCATAGGTCCATAGTCACACGAGGACAGCTTTGCATGTAACATGAATCTAAAAGAAAATAACACCTTAATTAAGAGGCAAGAAAGCTATGACAGATCCCTCCCAAATGCTATTACTATACCAACCTCCAGAGCTTCATACACATCCTTCCCTTAGCCTATATTTCATTTTACAATTTTAGAGATCCAACCATCTCTGAACCTGTCTGAAACTAGCCCACATGCCATATACCAGATTACAACATTCAGGCCAGCTTCACTATTACTTTTCCTCCTTTTACGACCACCAAGACCGGTGTTCAGATCCGATGGGAAAGGGAACAGGAGGATTAAGCTGTGTTCCACATCAACTTTACCTTAAAGCACAGCTCCAGAAACAAGCTCACCTCCTCAGGATCACACACGGCCAGGAAACTTGGGGCAACCTGCAGAACAAAAAGCTTAGTGTGAAAGCTAAACTGGCCAAGAGTGGTGGTTCATGCCTGTAATCCCAGCACTTTGGGAGGGGAGGCCAAGGGGGCGAATCACCTGAGGTCAGGAGTTCAAGACCAATCTAGCCAACACGGTGAAACCCATCTATACTAAAAATACAAGAAAATTAGCTCGGTGTGATGGCGGGCACCTGTAATCCCAGATACTCGGAAGGCTGAGGCAGGAGAATCACTTGAACCCAGGAGGTAGAGGTTGCCGTGAGCCAAGATCGTGCCACTGCACTCCAGCCTGGATGACAGAGCGAGACTCCGCCTCAAAAAAAAAAAAAACACCCATCTACATTGGAAGTTGACACGTGGAAGGCTTCCAGCCCTGGTCCTGAAACATTATAGGAAAGCTGAGTGGCAGCTTGCAGGTATTGTACTGACCTGCGCTGTCAAAGTCTTTCCAGGTTGCTCTTGCATGCAGTTGGAGATCCCATGGCTACCACCAGCCACAGCCCTTGGAAACATGCTGTTCTGTCCCACCAGGGAGCCCCCAGTCAGTCTCCAAAAGAAACCTACCAGGTCCCCTGCATTTCATCACTGATGTGACCCCGGGAGTCCTCGATCACCAGACAGATCACCTTCTGTCATCTCAGAGTCTTCATCTGGACAGCAAAATGAGAACTGTCAAGAACAATTTTATTGGTCCCATCATTTGGTTCTCAGAACGATACAAATCTAACCAGCCTTTGGTCCGAATACTGATGCTATCAGTTAAGCTGTGTCACATCCCAGCTGGATTTTCCCAGTACGGGAATCTTATGCTGGTTAACTGTACATGCAAACCCCCAACCGTTCTGCTGGTCTGTGGAAACAGGCCCATTTTGATAAAGGTCTCTGGCTACAGCTGAAAGATAGCAAGTATAATGGAACTGTATTTTCCCAAAATGTTGCAGATCAGTTACAACAAACAGAACGGCGACCGTCAAGGAAAACTGTCACTCTGGGCTCCTTTTTGACCACAGCAGCTATGCGGAAGCAGCTGCAGCTTCGATAAGGGCCAAGGGGCAATTCAGATCCCAGGGCAGCCACCTAAAGCCTCACCTGTCCATCATTACTACCTGCTGAAGTGCGCCGGAATCTGTTGACTAAATCAGTCATCCTGTAGCCCCACTGCCCACGCTGTGCCAATATTTGGTGTGCTTTTTCTCAATCTTGATGGGATCTTTTTATCCGCCTATTACAGATAAGAGGTTTAGACCGATTAAGTTACTTGCTGAAGGTCGCTTAGTCACTTAGCGAGGCTGAAAGCAACAAGCCGGGATGCACACAAGGGTCTGAATGCCTAAAACCCGTCCTTCTGAAAAGCGTGTCCACGAGGGCGACCTCCAGAGGCCTCGCGCGCAGTCACTAGTCCCAAAATCACCTAGCTGGTAACTGTCATAGATTCAACTGGAGGCCATCCTGACACCAGCATGCGGCCTCCCCCAAATTAAGACACTTCAGGCCCAGGGCTTCATCCCCGCATCCCCCAGGAGACCGGTCCCAAAACCCCTTCCGTAAACCCAGCCGCCTGCCGGCAACACTCACCTGTCAGCCCAGAGCGCAGAGTTGCGCAGGCCGAAGCGAGAGAAGGGCGCGGCCCCAGCGGGATCCGACCCCTCTCAAGACCGAGGGTCCCTTCTGGAGCTCGGGCCCACTGGGAAGGAAGGTCCGACTCCTCCGTGCCACGTTCACCACCATATCGAGGCCTTGGGAGAAAGCCCCGGCGAGTGCGGGCTGGTAGCAGCAACTAGCGGGTTATGGCTTGCAGGGAGGTAAGAAGACCCTTAAATATGATGAACCCGCAACAAGGTTGCGGCGGGGAAAAAGGGCGCTGCAGCTGCGTGCAAGAGCTTATATAGGCTGCCCCTCGCGGCCACGCCCGACAGTCGGCCGCGCGCGTGGCGCACAGCTGCTTGGGAATTGTAGTTTGCTCGCCCCTGCGTTGTCCGCGCGTCACCTCCCCAGCCCTACGCGCGTTTCCATCCCCAGCCCGCGAAGCGCGAACCGCCGGAGGCTTTCCTCCGAGCGGGAAGAAGCGCCTTCACCTTTCAGTGCTAGGCACTGGGCCCACGCAGGAAGCCGACCCGCCTTGGCCTCTGGAGTTGTCTCCGGGATATCTTTCAAAGTCTGGAAATGAACCCCGTGTGCTGGGAAAGGGCTCGGGCTCTGCTCAGAGTTCTGTGGGAGTGCGAGCAAGCAGCGCCTGAATGGGTTTCGGGGAGGGGGTCATACTCCCCGAAAGGCAATTTCTATATTCAAGGCTTGTCTCTTTCACAAATATATAATTTTACTGAGCGCGTGCTATTTAAACTGTGCCTGATTATCTGATCTAGTTTTCATAAAAACCCTGTGTATGCTCTGACAAATAAGGCAACTTGGCCGGGCGCAGTGGCTCATGCCTGTAATCCCAGCACTTTGGGAGGCCGAGGTGGGCGGATCACAAGGTCAGGAGTTTGAGACCAGCCTGGCCAACATTGTGAAACCCCGTCTCTACTAAAAATACAAAAATTAGCCGGGCGTGATCGTGCGCGCCTGTAATACCAGCTACTCAGGAGGCTGAGGCAGGAGAATCGCTTGAACTTGGGAGGCGGAGGTTGCAGTGAGCCGAGATCATGCCACTGCACTCCAGCCTGGGTGACAGAGCGAGACTCTGTCTCAAAAATATAAATAAATAAATACATAAAAATAAGGAAACTTAGGAATGGATCACACAGCTATTGCAAGCGAGGAGAGGACTGGAATTTGGAGCCCACCCCAGGCACCACACATAGCGCAATGTTTTGTGCATGGAATGAATAAGCCTCAGTATGAAAACTTAGTGGTGATTGCCGAGAATTAAACACCCATCCTGTGCCTAATCTATTAATTTTTATTTTATTTTATTTTTTTTTTGAGACAGAGTCTTGCTCTGTTGCCCAGGCTGGAGTGCAGTGGCGCAATCTCGGCTCACTGCAAGCTCCGACTCCCGGGTTCACGCCATTCTCCTGCCTCAGTCTCCCAAGTAGCTGGGACTACAGGTGCCCGCCACTACGCCCGGCTAGTTTTTTTGTATTTTTAGTAGAAACGGGGTTTCACCGTGTTAGCCAGGATGGTCTCGATCTCCTGACCTCGTGATCCGCCTCGCTCTGCTGGATACAGGTCCCTTTTTTTTTTTGCCTCACTAACGTGCCCGGATCCAAGTCAGTCGAGCCTCCCTTTTAAAAATTGCTGGCTGTATTACCAGGAGTGGCAGATCACCGGCGACTCAGGCCAATCCCACTGATCCACTGGCAACAGGGTCTTAAAAAAAATTTTATTCTTACATACACTTTTTTCTTTGAGACAGGGTCTTGTTCTGTTGCCCAGGCTGGAATGCAGTGGCCTGATCAAGGCTCATTGCAGCCTCGACCAACTGGGCTCAAGCAATTCTCCCACCCCAGCCTCCCAGGTAGATGGGACTACAGGTGCAGGCCAACTTTCCTTGCTTACACTTTAAAAAGTAGGTACTACTTTAGCAGGTCGTGGGTGGCCATGCCCTGTGGTCCTGGACTCCTCTCTTTCTCTAACATCAGGTGTCCAAGCCATCAGCAACTCCTGTGTGCTCTACCTTTAAAATGTATCAATAATCTGTTTCTTACCCCTTCCACTGATATTACCCTAATCCTTGACCCAGATGATAGCAATAGTCTCCTATCTCCCAGATCCTGCTGTTGCTCCCGACAGTCTGGTCTCCACTTGTCAGCCAGCCTGCTAAAAGTTTTTAATTTTTACGAAGTCTAATATGCCAGTTTTTTCTTTTGTAGTTTATGCTCTAAAAGCTTAATAATTAGGCCAGGCATGGTGGCTCACACCTGTAATTCCAGCACTTTGGGAGGCCAAGTGGGGGTGGATGACCTGAGGTCAGGAGTTCAAGTCCAGCCTAGCCAACATGATGAAAACCCGTCTCTACTAAAAATACAAAAAATAGCTGGTCATGGTGGCGGGCGCCTGTAATCCCAGCTACTTGGGAGGCTGGGGCAGAAGAATCATTTGAACCCAGGAAGCGGAGGTTCGAAGTGAGCCAAGATGGAGCCATTACACTCCAGCCTGGGCGACAAGAGCGAGACACCGTCTCAAAAAAAAAAAAAATTAAAATTATTAAACTTTTTGGGTTTTTTTTGAGATGAAGTCTTGCTTTGTTGCCCAGGCTTGTGCAGTTTATTATGTGTCAATTATTCCTCAATAAAGCTGTCAAAAAACCAGAAGACTACAGGCGCGTGCCATCACGCCCAGCTAATTTTTATATTTTTAGTAGACACGGGGTTTCACCATGTTGGCCAGGATGGTTGTGACCTCCTGATCCACCCACCTCAGCCTCCCAAAGCGCTGGGATTACAGGCCTGAGCCACCGCGCCCGGCCCAACCCAGATCTGTTCTAATGCAAATGCAGATAACCTTAACTGCTGTGTCACACGGCTCCTCCAGAACTACCCTGAGGTAGGTACCATGATTTGCCTGATTTAGCAGAAGAGGAAGCAGGGATTAGGGAAAGGAAATAACTTACCCCAGGTTATACAGTGAATCTGTGGCAGAGGTCAGCTGACATCTGGATTTAACTGCAGTCAGAGGCAGACACATGATCCCAGCCCACAGTAGGAGCAGGGAGAGGGAGGAAGTTCAAGAAGCCAGATGCTGACAGTGCATTGCCCACGTGGGCTGACCGGAAAGTCCTCAGGGAGAGCTGGGGTCAGACTGCATTTCCAGCTGCTTCATGCCTCTCTAGAGTCTCCTTTCTCCTTGACCTTCCCAGATCCCGCTTATCCTTGGAGACCCAGCTTCAACATCAGCTGGGATGGGCTTCTCTGACCCTTTGGCTTCCTAAGTCCAGCTCCATCATGGTGTTTGACTGAATGAATGGATGGGTGAATGAACAGCACTTATCCACTTTCATTAATTCATCTAGCTATAAATATTTACTGAGCTTATTATTATTATTGTTATTTGAGACAGAGTCTCGCTCTGTCACCCAGGCTAGAGTGCAGTGATGCGATCTTGGCTCACTGCAAGCTCCACCTCCCGGGTTCAAGCGATTCTCCTGCCTCAGCCTCCCAAGTAGATGGGATTATAGGCACGTGCCACCATGCCCGGCTAATTTTTGTATTTTTAGTAAAAACAGAGTTTCACCATGTTGGCCAGACTGGTCTTGAACCCCTGACCTGAAGTGATCCACCCGCCTTAGCCTCCAAAAGTGCTGGGATTACAGATGTGAGCCACTGCGCCTTGAGTTTCTACTTTATGCCAAGCGCTGAGTTAGGCCCTGAGGATATAATCATCACCCCTGCCCTCAAGGAGCCTGCAGCCTAGGAGAGAGACTGACATTAGAGGTGGTCAGAAATACATGTGGGCCGGACATGGTGGTTCACACATATAATCCCAGCGCTTTGGGAGATGGAGGCGGGCAGATCACTTGAAGTCAGGAGTTCAAGACCACCTTGACTAACATGGTGAAACCCTGTCTCTACTAAAAATACAAAAATTAGCTGGGCGTTGTGCCTGTAATCCCAGCTACTTGGGGGGCTGAGTTGGGAGGATAGCTTGGACCCAGGAGGTAGAGGTTGCAGTGAGCTGAGATCCTGCCACTGCACTCTAACCTGGGCAACAGAGTGAGGCTCCATCTAAAAATAAATAAATAAATAAATAAAAGACTAGAGAGACTAGAGTTGTCTGGAGCAACTGGACCTCCAGCCTCAGTGCCCTGGGTTTCCAGAATGCCAGCCTGGAAAGGGTGGAGTAAACTTTGGAGGCTCGTGTGCTGCCTCACCCTAGCCCCTCACCCAAACAAAACTCAACCAGTGTCTTAGTGCTCGTGGGACCTGCTTTGTCCCCTTTTGTGGTATCAAATGGGTGACGAAGGATGAGACAAACCTGGATGTGAGTCCCAACTCCGCTGTGTGACCTGGGACAAGCCGTGCCTCTGAGCCTCAGTCTTCTCAGCACTAAGAGGGGCACTCCCATGGCCCTATCAAAGGGTTGCTGTCCACAAAACATGAACTGACCTTTGGCCTCATACATATTAGCTGTCAAATCCACAGGCCAACTGCACTCCCTTTAGAATTGCAGTTGTCTGTGTCTGTCCTGCCTCCTCAACCAGACTGTGCCCAAGTTCCTTCTGGGGCCCTGGTGTCCAACTCAGACAGGCATTGGAGGAAGCCGTGGGTGCTGTTGAATGTTGAACCTGAACATTGAACTAGAGGCCCCAGGCCAGGGCTAATGAGGGCTCCAGGAAAGGGCTTCTGGGTGGAGAGGGAGCATCTACAAACCACTCACTTCCCGAGTGGCCTTCCCGGGTCCAGCAGAGGGGTGGGGGCCAACTAGGGAACCCACGGCGGGCGGGGTGGAGCGGGTAAGGGGGTGGGGCTGGAGGTGAAGGAATGAGTGAGGACCCTCCCCACTTCATCTAGTTTAGTCCCTTTAGCCTGTGAAGTAGGGGTCATCATTAGCGCCCTTTTACAGAGGAGAGAACTGAGGCTTCGAGAGAGAGAAACTTGGCCAGGAGTTTCCTCTCGGTCCGACCACCTCAGTGCCCCGCCGGGGGCGGTGGTTGGGCGCCGGGAGCAGGGGGCGGTGCGCGGCAGGGGCGGGGGCGGGGCGCGGACAAAACAGCCGCGGGGCGGCGGGGCGGCGGATGCGGCCATGGAGGGCGAGGGCTGCCGCTACCAATTTCGAGTTGCGCTGCTGGGGGACGCGGCGGTGGGCAAGACGTCGTTGCTGAGGAGTTACGTGACGGGCGCGCCTGGCGCCCCGGAGCCCGAGCCCGAGCCTGAGCCCACTGTGGGCGCCGAGTGCTACCGCCGCGCGCTGCAGCTGCGGGCCGGGCCGCGGGTCAAGCTGCAGCTCTGGGACACCGCGGGCCACGAGCGCTTCAGGTGCGGGTAGCCAGGGCGCGGGAGGGACTCCTGGTGGGGGACTTGGTGCCAGTGCGCTCGGCCACGGCAACCCCCGTAGAGGCCAACTTAGAGGTCAAGCGGAGGGCGAGGTCCCTGCCCTGGGTCCCGTCTGGTCCCCTGGGTCCAGACCCTCCCCTGCTCGGAGTCATTTTCCCCACGAACACCGCGGGGTGGGCCGAGTCCCAGAGCCCAGGAACATCCCTGGTTTTGAGCTCTGGACTCTGGAGAGATGAGTGATACTGGCCCCGGGCGCTGAGAGCTCAGAACAGAGCAGGAAGTGTCGAGGAGATGTGGAAGGGAGAGAAGTTTGTG